TGGAGGGTCGACCATGCAAGGGAACAAGGGAGCCTGGTATACTAGGCGCACCTAGATGAAGCATGCGGGGCTGCCTAACTAGGGCGTGAGGGTCGGCGAAGGRTAGAAAGATGATGGGTAAGGGAATCATGCAAATGACTCCTWAAGTMAGGGAAGTCGGAGCTAGATCCGTAAGATGGGAAGCCAGGGCAACGCTACGGTCCCGATGCCTATGCGTATACCAAGGGAGAGCCCAACTCAGAGGAACCCGGCTAAAGGAAGACCATCATGCGACACAAGCAGGGTACTGTACAGGGTAAAGTGGCAAGAGAGTGGCGAAGTCTGAAGTAGGCAAAGCTGATCGTGACGAAGTCCATGAAGCTGCCGATGACGTCCACGATGAGAAGTCCGGAATGCCGTCGAGGAAGAGCCGCAACGTCGACGAGCGGAAGTAGCAAAACTGGAGTGGATGGAACACTGAGAAGTCAAAGACATGGGAAGGTAAGTCAGAGTCAATCGTCGTATCGAGCAGGACGACGATGAGTGCGCTGTAGACGCTCAGAAGCATCCGGCTGCTGCTGAAGGTTTGCCTCAGATGGAGCAGGCTCGACTTTAGCGGTCTCCTCAGCCGGGGGAGAAGGAGGAGGGTCAGTGGGCTGAGGAGGAGCAGTGAACCCAGAACGACAAGCACGATCATAGGCACGCACCAACACGCGAGCGTGCTGCAAGTGCTCGAGGGGCTCCCAGGTAGCCTCCTCATCAGGGTAACCCTTCCAACGTACGAGATACTCGACGTGGGGGGGTTGTCGTCGGTGACTCGGCGACCAATGATGTCTGAAACGAGGAACTCCTCGTGGCCGTCCACCATGATAGTGGAGGGCGCTCGTATGGTCGTCAAGCGAAATGCTCAGACGGTCTGCGGTAAGGACGTAGTAACGAGACGTGGTAGACATCGTGCACACGAGCCCGACGTAGGTAGTCGGGCAGCTTCACACGAAAGCTGACCGGGCTAGATGCCGTATCAGAACCGACGGCCTGGAGGATGCGGCATGGTCCAAAGAAGCGACGTCGAAACTTGCGAAGCGTGTCCGCTTCGAGCTGTAAGTGGCGGGCGTCGATGAGCACATCATCACCGACTTTGAATGGATGATCCATCCTCGATCGGTTCGCACGTGCTGCCATGCGAGTCTGGGAAGCGGCTATGTGCTCATGTGCGGTCTTCATGATCGACGTCATGAGTGCAACCCAATCATCCAGTGCGTGACAACTCGTGTCGGGGTGCATCTGGGACGGTCGAAGGAAGTCCGCGGGAACACGCGGGTGGTAGCCGAGGTCGCAATAGTAAGGCGACATCCCTATGGCTGGCGGGACGGCGTGGTTGTAGGCTATCTCCGCGTGGGCAAGATGGAGATCCTACTGCTGGTCGTCACGAACAATCTTTCGGAGGATATCTCCGAGAGTCCTGTTCGTGATCTCGGTCTGACCATCAGTCTGAGGATGGTAAGACGAGGAGAAGCGGAGCTGAGTGCCGTACACCTCGTGGAGTCGTCACCAAAATCGGCTGGTAAAGCGCGGGTCACAGTCAGATATGATGCTCAGAGGTAAGCCGTGGTCACGCACGACTCGGTCAAACACGATGTCGGCAACCTCACGTGCACTGATGGCATAGCGGCACGGAACAAAGCGTGCACGCTTCGTGAAGCGGTCGACGACAACCAGGATAGCATCATGACCGCGAGGGGTCGGAGGACGAAGGAGACCGATAAAGTCCATCGAGATGGACTGCCTACGACCCTCAGGGATAGGAAAAGGCTGGAGCAAACCATAAGGCAAGTGGTTCGCGCTGTTCACCTCCTGGCAGGTGGGATACTCTGCGACGTAGTCCTTCACAAAGTCCTTGCGCTTCGGCCAGATGTACAGGCGGCTCACACGAGCCAACGTCTTGTGGAAACCCATATGACCGGCGACTGCCTGGTCATGGAACTTTGCAACTGCTCGGACATGTAGCTGTCCAGTGGAGGGAACGCAAATACGGGGCTCTCTGGTGCCCTGTGAACCGTGCCAGTACACAAGACCGTTGTCCCTGAGAGAGTAGTTCGGGACGATCTTGCCACTCCGAAGGGTCGCGTGGATGTCGCGATAGTCGGGGCAGTGGTGGTACTGAGTGCGAAACTCGTCGATCACCGAGTGGTGGACGGTGGTGACCAAGATGGAAGAGAGATGGATCTGCTCCTGGTCGTGGTCAGGGCGCCGGGATAGGGCATCTGCGACCCGATTAGTCTCACCCTTGATGTTCTCAGTGGTGAAACTAAACTCGGATAGGTCGCGCCACCAGCGAGCCTGTCGAGGAGTGAGCTTCGGTTTTGTCAGAAAAGCCTGGACAACAGAGTTGTCCGTACGCACCGTGAACCGTGCCCCGTGCAGGTAGTGACGCCAGTGCCGAGCGACATAAACTACTGCGAGAACCTGACGTTCATCAGCGGTGTAGTTTATCTCGGCGGGAAGGAGATGACGGGAGTAGAAGGCTATCGGACAATCACCTGAGCGAGACTCGACATTGTCGTCCTCGGCGATGGTAGGAGAATAGTCAATAGAAGGCTCGTCAGTAGCTGGAGGAGTAGGCGTCAGTCAGGAAGTAGTGGTAGGGGTAGGTGGTGGGAAGCGAGGGATACGAGGATGAGAGGAATCAAGAGAGGAGGGGAAGACCTGAGAAAGCACTGCTCCTACAACAAATTATGTTGCATCGGTGGTAAGGATAAAAGAGCGATCAAAATCGGGTAGGTGAAGAACCGGCGCGCATGTCACCGCCTTCTTGAGGGCGCGGAAGGCATCCTCGTGGAGGGGTGTCCAAGCCCAGGGTGGGCTCTTCCGAAGGAGGGTGGAGGTAAGGACGTAGGAATAACTAGCGTATCCCCGAATGAAATTACTATAGTACCTGATAGGCCTAGGAAACTGCGAAGCTGCTTGGCGGATGTGGGGGCGGACCACTCCGCAATAATAGTGATCTTTGCGTCGTCCATGTGGAGACCTTGGTCAGACACGTAGTGTCTTAAGAAATTCACTTTGTGGTGGGCAAAGCGGCAGTTGCTCAGCTTGGCGTAGAAGCCATGTCTGCGCAAGCGGTCAAGGACGTCGCGGAGGTGTCTGAGGTGCTCCTCAAGGGTACGACTATAGACCAGGATATCGTCGAGGTGGACGAGAACGTACTGCTCCAGGATGTCCCTGAAGATGTCGTTCATCGCCCTCTGGAAGGTAGCGGGTGCGTTAGTGAGGCCGAATGGTATCACCGTGAACTCGTAGTGGCCGAATCGCGATCGGAACGCGGTCTTCGGCTGGTCGGCTGCAGCGACGCGGATCTGATGGTAACCGCTACGAAGATCAATCTTCGTAAAGAAGCGGTTGCCTACTAGGCGGTCGAACAGCTCATCAGAACGAGGCATGGGGTAGCTGTTCTTAACCGTGTAGCGGTTGAGACCGCGGTAGTCGATGCAAAGACGAAGAGTTTCATCCGCTTTGCGAGCAAAGAAGACGGGTGCACCCCACGGGGAGTTGCTGGGTTTAATGAAACCCAGTCTCAGGAGCTCCTCAAGCTGACGCTTGAGTTCGCTGGCCTCGGGGATCGAGAGTCTGTAGGGTGCCTGGTGGTGAACACGATAGTCAGGCACAAGCTGAATGGAGTGCTCGACGTCACGCATCGGTGGGATGCCGACGTACGAGAACGACGATGGAAAAACGTCGTGGTACTCTCGGATGAGGTCACAAACTGCGGGCTCCAGGTCAGCCGTATATCGTGCGAGTTCCTCAGCGTCAGCGTCAACGCGCGACAGCGGAGTGAACTCGACGGACGGGGTACGGACGGAAGTAGAGATGGGAGCCGTGGAGATAGAAGGAGGATCTGGCTCCAGAGGGATGAGCTCGGCGTCGGGACAGGGTGGATCATAGTGTAAGAGATCCGTCACGTTCACCATAAAGAAGGTGACGTCGTCCTGTCGGATGAAGTGGGCAAACTGCCGAGGCGAGGTGACAGTGATAGAAGGAGGTGGTGTGGGCACGGAAGGCTCCGGGCGAGGAGGATCAGGACGTGGTGTCGCGGTGGTACCTATGAAAGGTACGCGATGCGTTTGTCTACACTTCGTTTTGAGAATAAGAGTGTTGGTCGCCCAATCGGCCTCGGTGCTGCGGAACCGACGAGACCACAGAGTGCCGAGAATGAAGTCGTACCCCGTCTCCATCACATCGAAATGTGCAGAGGAGCGGTGGCGACGAGACGCCGGGGAACAATCAGTCGGCTCGAGAGTGAGGAAAAAAGGGAGGTCGGTGACCGTCTGATCGAAGAAGCGCTGGGTCTTGTCATCCCCTAGGGTAACGGAGATGGGAGTCGGAGACCCTGTTGTGGGTAAGCGGGCTTCCTTCACCACGCGTGGGTGAATGAAGTCGCCCTGAAAACCGGAATCCCACAGCGCTGAGTACACCCTCGTGGAGGTCCCGAGTCGTACGGGGATGATCGGGAGGGTGCGATCAGRGTCAGAGAGGATGGCGAGAAGGCGACGCAGTGCAGCGACATGGAGGGTGAGTCGCTCCTGACGAGCCTGGAGCATGCTCAAGTCCAGAAGAGAGGACACAACGTCCTCGCGAGTAGCAAGCTGCTCGCTGCAACGGGCTGAGCGAATGGCTCGACGCGTCGGTAGTCGCGGCGGGGAAGGAGGGGAGACGGTGGTCTGCGGAGGCGCATATGGTACTACGACAAAGGGCTGAGTACACTCTGTCGAGTCCTGCGATACCTCAACTCCAGTAGCGAGAGGGGCGAACCGCGACGGAGATGTCGAGAAGCCCACTACTGAGGAGGGCGCAGGTGTACAGTGCACCGTGGCTAGGAGGCGTCGGGGGGGGACTGAGCACGACGTTGACGAGAAAGGTCAGCGTAGTGGTGGTCGAGGGCGGTAGTGTAAGGGCACCGCGAGGAGGTATGACCGTCCAAGCGGCAGCGCAAACACCCACGCCGGCCCAGAATAGCCGCGCACTTCTCAGGGGAAAGGACACCACGAGGAGGGACGAAGCCCTGAGGGAGGTCCTCCTGAGGGACCTCGGGGGGCGACGCGCCAGCGTCACCAGGGCGGCTGCGTGCCCGGGAAAGGGTGGAGAGGATAAGCTTGAGGCGCTCAGCCATAGGGAGAGTAGGGTCCTCCAGGTGGTGCTGAACGGCATCGCCGAGGTCGAGGTCATCGCTATGATCACCCTCTGGCGACAGCGGGGCACCAGCGTCTTGCTCACCATACTCGAGCGCGCTGAAGCGGCGCGAGAAGTGGCGGCCCTGCTGCGCGGAACGGCGGGGGCGACCGAGGAAAGGGGAACGACGCTGGGAAGTGCCGTGAGAGGAGGAGGAGGCGTAGCCCGTGCGCTGAGGCTGGGAGGAGGAGGCGGGGTGAAGACGGGCTCGCATCCGCTGGTGGTCCCTGGCGGCCTCCTAGGCGTGCGGGGCCGATGTGAACTCGTACCGCTATAGCTCAGAGCGGTACTCGAGTGGAAGGCTGGCCAAAAAACGGTCGATAAGGGCAGCCTCGGGGCGGAACGTCACGTCACAAGTGAGGCGGGCGTCCTGAAAGACCTGGATGTGGCGATCCAGAGCGGCAGCGCCACCAGAGCCGGACCAGCGTGTAATGACAAAGCGCTCGAAGGCGTCAGTCACGTCGTATCGGGCTCCGAAGTGATCCTCGAGGAACGCCTGGAAATCCATGAAGGTCGGGGTCCGACCCTCACGAAGGGAGTACGCGTAGAAATCCTCCCAGGCCTCGAAAGGACTGCCACGTAGGCACGTGGAGAGGTGACCCACCCACGTGTCGGGTGTGACGCCCATGAGCTGGAGCGTGTGGGTGGCAGACTGCAGCCACCTAGACACGCGTATGCCTGTACCGTCATACAAGGCAATGTCTGACAAGCGGATGAGTGGTGCGCCACCGTTTTGGCGGTGAGGGGAACGGGAAGCAAGGGACTGCGCTACGGCGGAATAAGTCGGCGCAGGTCCTGGAGGAGGAGGCGCAACTGACTGTACGTCCGGGCCGCATGGTGGAGCGGCGGGGGAAACAGCGGCAGGCTGCACGGGAGGTGCGGTAGAAGAGGTCGCAGCAACCGAGGGGATGGGGAAGAGGTAGGATGGGGATGGGTAGGGTGCAGGGCGAGGGAAGCGAGCCTGCATGGAAGGAAGAATAGAGGAAGAAGGAGGTGCGTCGGAAGGCGCGGCCACCTGTGAGGGTGGGGGTGGCTGAAGGCGTGAGAGGGCGAGGTCGGTCCAGAGATGGGCGATCTCGAGACCTCGAACATAGGTCGAGCGAGGTGTGGCAGGGGGAGACGCACGAGTGGCGCGAGGCATCCCACAAGGGGTAGAGCCAGGTGATGCTGCGGTCGTGCGAAGAGGAGGGAGAAGTGGGGCACCCGGACAAGCTGCGACCATGATAGCGGGTTGTGGTACCGTGGCCGTAGTGACCGGGGTCTGGGCGGGTGCGCCCGTAGACTGAGGGAGGACCTGACTCATGGCGGCCGTCGTGCTAGGGGCGTGGACGGTCACCAAGATGGCCGGGTCGGGGGCGGCGGAAGAGGAAGCTCCGACGTGGCCACCCTGTCGGAGGACGGGGCACCCGGACTGGGAGCCAGGAGATGGAGGACACGCAGCATCCCGGAGTTGCTGCACGCCGGCGGCAAGGGTCGCCACCTGCGCCTGTAAGGGCCCGAGGGTCGCGAGTTGCGCCTGGATGGGCGCAAGGGTCGCGAGTTGCGCCTGGATGGGCGCAAGGAGGGAGGTGAGGAGGGTGTGCAGATCCCCCTGGGACTGGTGGCCCTGGTCCCTCAGCACGGGTGTGGAGCCCTGTGCTGTGGTCGTCGATGCGTCGGCGGCGTGTGACGCGCCGTCGGCCATGGGAAGGTGACGGGCCGGACTGGAGGGGGCCAGGAGAGGTCCACGTAAGCGGAGGGCGTAGGGGGGAGTCCGCTGTAGAAAGTGGCGGACGACGCTAGCAAGGCTAGAGCAAGCGCCGTCAAAGGGGGAGGGGTGGTTCGGGTCCAGGGTGCCCGAAGAGGAAGGGGAAGTAGGGGGGGTTTGAAGAACCCTAAATCCTAGAAAAACCCTAAGAAAACCCTAACCGAAGTTTAAGTGGTTAAGGTAGGGTACCGGTGACCTAATCAAAAAAATAAAATAGCAAGCATAGGGGGGGGGAGGCGGGAGAAAAATAAATAAAAAGCGAGATTTTAAAAGAAAAACAAAAGAAAATATAATAAAAATAATTAAGAGAAGAAGTAAACAAAATGTGAAAAGAAAAATAATATTTATTTTTTAGAAATTTTCGGCAGCATTTCCCTACCCCCCATGGGTCAAGAATGTGCCAAGGGGAAAGGAGAGATCAAGGTGAGCACACTAGGTTTCAAGATGCCGCAAATAAAAAAAAGAAATTTTAAAAAATAAATAAATAAATAAATAAATAAATAAAGAAGTAAATAAGAGGATAAGGAGGTGGGGAGAATGAATTATCTAATTTTTCAAAAATTTTGGCAGCATTTCGTTAACCCCATGGGGTCGAAGTGTGCCGAAGAGACTAAGTAAGAAAGAATCAGAAAATTTCGGCAGCACTTCGTTRCCCCCACGGGGTCAAAACGTGTGTCGAAAGCAAGAGAGACGAACACCTAATCAGATTCAGGGTTGCCGCCAAAAAAATTGAATTTTCAGAATAAATAAAAAAATAAATGAAATAAATCAGGAAATAAGAAAAGAAGGTGGGGGAGAAGATAATTCAATTTTTTGGAAAAAAAATAAAAGAGAAATCAAAAGAGAAATAGAAAGAAGAAAAAACAGAAAAATTCGAAGTAGGGGGGAAGGAGAATGAAAAAGTGAAGGAGAAAAGAAAGAAATAAGTGGGGGAGAGAAAAAGATGAAGTGGGAGGTGGGGGGATGATGTGGTGGTAGTTGGAGGAAAAGAGGGTTGGGGAAAGGTGGAGAGGGATCAAGAAGCAAGGAGAAAAGGGGAAAGAAAAGAAGAGATGAAGTAAATAGAGTAAAAAAATGGGTGGTGGGAGAAAAGGTGGGGTGGGGGGAGGGGTATGAGTAAGAGGAGAGAGGGAGAGAGAGGTATGGAGAGTGGGTTAGTGGAGGAGGGGGGGAGAGAGAAAAGATACCTGGCCCTTGGTGTCTCCAAGGGCACAAGGTACACCAAGACCAGGAGGGTCTTGGCCTTCGCTGCAGCAGCCAGCTGGAGGAGGGAGGGAGGCTGAGATCTTGATCAGCCCCTACTGCAAATCTGCAGATCTAGGGTATGCTGTGTGAGCATACCCTCACCGGTGTAGAGCAGCCCCTGAAACACGTGGCACTGCAGGTGGCCACGTGCACAGGCAGCAGCAACCACGGGCGGGGGGGGGAGGGGGTAAATAGCAGCCTCTCCCATCGCTGCCTTGCTGCCCCCAGCACGACACATCTTCAACACGAGCGTGCCGTGCTACAAGGCCATAGACACTCTGTGGCGAGTGTAATATGGCAGTGGTATACGCACGCGCAAGGCCAGCAGCTGTCTGGGTTAAAACCCCAGCAGCAGCAGTTGCATCCCGGATCTTGATAATATAAATCCAGGAGCGGGGTGAGGCGGGGCGGGGCGGGGCGGGGCAGCGGGGCAGCGGGGCAGCGGGGCAGCGTGGGCACGTGGCGCGTGCGTGTGCGGCGGCTGGCCTTGGGCTTGGCGCACGCGTCATGACGGCTTCCCCTTTTCCGCCACGTGTTGCTCTCCTGCTGCAACACTTTTTTTTTTCCCGCTATTTCGCCCGAAAACGCCCGAAAAGCAGCCAAAAACCCGACTGTCTGGTTTTGATGTTTTTCCTTGCTATGCGGTGTGGTGGGTGGGAGCGGGGAACGTTCCCGCTCCGATACCAATGTAGCAGATCCACCAGGTGTGGTGCTCCGCTAGTGGTAGAGTTGGAGATGGAGGAAGAAGGGGGGAGTAAGATGGCACAACGTAGCTCCCCACGCAAGACTCCAACGCACGTACTCCAAAAATATGCAAGTGAAGAATTAGGACGAGACAGACAACTGCTGGGGTATACCCCAGCGGACTGACTGGACTGGACTGGACTGGCTGGTACCGACATAGGTACCGGCCTAGACTTGACTGGACTGCCCCCAAATATAATACAGGCCTGTGAGAACAGGCCAAGGGGCTGGTCTCACAGGCCAACTAGAGGTCCGCTACAGAGAGAGAGAGAGAGAGAGAGAGAGAGAGAGAGAGAGAGAGAGAGAGAGAGAGAGAGAGAGAGAGAGAGAGAGAGAGAGAGAGAG